TTACAATTGTCGAAGGATTTTTCATTTATTTTTTTAAAGCGTGGTGTTGTTCGTTCCTATTCTATTCCCTATTGCTGTTTTATTTTGGGATTTGTATCAAATCAGTGACAATCATTTCACCGGCAATGTCTTAACCGACATTAATTTCGCCGATAATATCAATTAACCGACATAGTAAAATCATCGATAATGTTTACAAACCTAATCTAATCCAAACCTAACGCAAGCTACGAGAAATATACAGAATTAAATTTCTCAAAAACATTGGCACGCGATGTAATTTTATAATTAATTTTACTAAGCTTTTTGTTCAATACATGGTTATTGCTTTATTATTACTTCATAGATTTATACTTATTTCAATTTAATAATTGCACCTTTGTTATTACTCCGTAATTCTCTGTTATTTTGGATGAACAGTTATTTCGTATTAATTAATATGTTTATTACGAATGTCAGTGTCGGTGAAACGAGTGTCGATGTAAACATTATCGGTGACAATTATTTTGTTATTCATCTCTATATTTGAAACGTAGTTTCATCTCTTATTCCGTCTTTATTTCATTTATTTTACGACTTTCCGCTGAATGAAATAACACTGTTATCAGCTCGTTGAATTTCTATTAATGCACGCTTACTTATTATGTATACAAAAACGTTATCATTATGTATAAAATAATCGCCCATAAAGAAGATATTTATACCATATTATGTCTTTCTCCATACCAAATAATTTTCGTTTTAACATTTTTTCCCATCTTTCGTCGTTTATGAGATATTCCACTGAGTCCAGATAAAATAGACACCCTGTATATATATATATTTACCTATAGGAGAATCCTGCAAAGTTCCATTCAAATCTGATCTCAAATCAGTTCGTTGAAAACATATGAAATTGTAACTTGTCAATTTTTACTATTACGACTAAAAAGGAGCATGTTTAACAAGTTTTTGACAATTGCATTTCCTGCAAAATTAAACAAAAAGTTGGCAAAGTTGATTTAATTATTTTATCTTTATTCCATACCTTTCCTTATCATTTTTATTAGTTGTTTGACTTTGCGCATAGTTTAAATCAATAGCTGGGAAAACAATTACAGTTCTCCGTAGACGATAAATTAATATCAGCCATAAAAGTAAGTATCTTTACAAGCTTCATTACGTATGAAAAGTTATAAATTTAAAGTGGAAAATTTTCCTCTGCCACCAGAATATTTGAATAAAATGGGGAACATAGTTAGAAGTTGCATTCTTTTATGCAGAGCATTTAGAGAAGATCAAGAAATTTTCAACTACTTTAAAAAGTTTAAACAAGCTAAATAAAATTATTATCGTATACAAAATAATTTCATAGGTCTTAAAAATTGTTACAAAATTTATGGACACTTGCATGACTATAATAAATAAAGGATATAATTTTTAATAAATCACTCACACGAATAAGTCCAGTAACGTATCTTTAACAAACATATTTATCAAATGAAATTTCTATACAATATTTCACATCATATATTACATGATTTTAAAGAAAATGAATTATAATTCGACTACTATTTAAATTAATTCTCTAATTTGAATAAATGGACTTGAAAAATAGTCACTTATTGACAGTGCCGACATTTCATCAACGAGTTCCGTAGTGACATTAATTACTTAATAAATGACACGCGTATAATTTCCTGATTTGTTTCCATTTCAGTTAATTATTTCTTAATTCGTGCAATATTTGTTCGAGCTTGTCTCATGCACCGATATGTAGAATAACACAGTTTTATGTGCTTTTGCACACTAATGCAATTTATTTTGTTACAACACAGTTCATTGACGTTTCACCGCACGCGTGTGTGCCAAGTTATTTAATGCGACACGCCCGGAAAAATTCTAAGCAGACAGTCGACTCACACAGTATTGTGTTACATGGTTCGTGGTTTTCCAGCCAACTCTCATTGCATGCACGATTCGTTCCTAGCGTGTACAGCGCCAGACGTTGTACTAAATCTATTAAATAGGTACTACATGTGCAAGTATAATCAATTTATTTTTGCTTAATTCATTCCTAAAATTGAACGAGTTAATATAACGCTATATTTTTAAACGCATTCAGAGTTTCAATCTGTGTGATATATGCGTCATATTGCTAGTACCTTTTAGAAAAATATTATACGTTATACGTTATACAAAGAGAAAGGGAAAAGAACTGGGGATATTTATCTAGTGATTTTCAACTGACCGTTTTGGCAATAACGAGGAATTTTACAAGCTTTATGAACAAAATCAATTTCTAATACTTCAGGGCCCATTGGTAAAACAAATTTGACAAATATAAGTATATCATTGAGAGCCAGAAGCTTTACTGCATTATGAAATAATAATACTCTCAGCAATGAAATAATAATATTATTTAGTAAATAAAAGAAAAGGAAATATACAATTCTAACAAGTTTTAAGAGTAGCAAAGCTTCTGGCTCTCAATGATATACTTATATTTGTCAAATTTGTTTTACCAATAGACTCTGAAGTATTAGAAATTAATTTTGTTCATAAAGCTTGTAAAATTCCTCGTTATTGCCAAAATGATCACTTGAAAATCACTAGATAAATATCCCCAGTTCTTTTCTCTTTCTCTTTGTATAACGTATATAATATTTTTCTAAAAAGTATTAGAAATATGACGCATAAATTGCAGATATTAAAATTCTCAATGCGTTTAAAAATATAGCATTATATTAAAATTGATTATATTTGCATATATAGTAGAGTACGAGTATCTATTACGAGTAGTAACAGTACGAGTTAAAAATTGATTTCGTCCATAAAGCTTGTAAAATTCCTCGTTTTTTCCCTAACCATTCCTATATATATTTATATAATAATATATCGTTGTACATTTTATTATTATATTATAAATATATTTTTTATTTTATTTTATTTTAAGAATCAAAAAATTGTTTTACGAAATTTGAGTAAAATATCGATGAAATATTAAAGAATAGAAATTTCCATTATATACATCTAATGAAGTAAAATAGGATTGAATAATTAATATATTAGTATATTATAATTAAGGTAACATAGTAACATAGAAACGAATATGATAATAACATGTGAATAAGGTAACACAGAAATAACTTATTAGTATAATAAATAGAATAATCAGTACAATAATTTGTATTATTGCCCAATAAATATTAAATTGATATAATAATTTATTAAATATTCGTTTCTTGTCTTTTTTTAAGGAAAAAGTGAGGATTAGGGAAATTACGAAGTACTGCAATTTCAGTACTTTCTCGTTTATGGTGCATCGGTGCTCTTTAGAAACAATGAATAACATTGCACTTCCGCGTAGCTAATGTAATAATCGTCGCATTAATTAACAAACGGTTACTTCCTCATAATATGAATGTAATATAATGCAACAGTTATTATGTTTCGAATAAATAACAATGAACTATTTTGTTTTAATATTTTTGTTTCATAATATAATATTTTTTGGATCAAGATAATCAATACAACATGCTACATTCTTCTGCGTTGAAATGTAATTGAAATAGAAAATTCATATTTTCATACATGTAAGAATTTTAATATTTCATTTAATACTCAAAAAAATAATTTTAGTATTTTAAAAAATATATATTTTTAATTTAATATATAATTTAAAAAAATAATATATACATAATATATATAATAAATATAATTTTATAACTACATAAAATAAACAAAGCAACTACGAATTTATGTGTTTTAGTATAAGCTAAAATGATTAGACGTCTTTTCTCACCTTTTCTCGAAAAGATTAGTATATACAATATAACCGAAATTAATGAAATCAAAAATTCAAATTTATCCACCTAAACAAAATATTGTGAATTATAAATGTTTTTGCATATTTTATGGAAAATAGGTAAAGTCGTGGAATCTGGACAGAAATTTATTTAAATATTGAAAGATTCTAAAGACATAACTTTTACTTTGCATGCGATTTGCATAAATGTATTTGCATAAGTGCAGTTAATTAAAAAAACAGAAAACCTATTCAACGAATCCGAATGAAAAGTTAAATCGTATATCTTCTCTGTAAACGTTAATGTACTCAGTTGCTTAAAGTTAGTTAAAAAGAACAAGTAATTTGACTATATTATCAATATTATCTAACACACTTTGAAATATGTTGACGTAGAAGGCTCATAAGAAATTTTGACACAGTATTGGTGCAAATTTAAATGTATTCATGTAACCTCACATAACACAGAGACATAATAAATTTAGAAAAAAAAACTACTATAATATGCCGTAAGTATAAAGAAACTATATTCGTCCATATATCACTGTACAGTCGCTTACAAAAATATTCGAATGCTTATATTTTAAACGATTAATAAATGAAACATACACATTGAATTCAAACTTCGAAGATGATATTCTACTAGAATAAAATAATTTTGATCACAAGTGTTAAAAATGTCTGAGAAAAATTAGGTCAAAAAAATACGGTATTCGTATAACATTCGAATTATTTTCGTATTCTATTAATATCTTTATATAATTTCTAAATTTGACCATCTGCAGCACCAGTTAAAAATATTTACGTTCTATTTTTATGCAGTCGAATATTTCTCTCGATTTTATTTCTTTCTTTATTTTACAAATATCGTATATGTTGTAAGAACGGTTCATAATCTCAACTGTAGTATCATTTCCAAAATTTTGCTTCTAATATGCGAATTTTCTTTGTTAGAAGTCTAAAATGCACACGTTCGAATCTTTTATAATCAATTGTGTATATTTTCCATATATTTTGATACACATATATATGATATGTATGTGTACTACTTCAACACGCGTATATCTGCATAAAGATCTGCTGCTTCGTTGTAAATAAGAAGAACAAAATGCAGTATATCGTGGTGTATCTATTATAATATCTACCAATAATTTTGTATGGCACTTAAATGGTAAGTATGAAAGTTAAGAAGAAATGAGAAACATATTCGTACCTGATAAGGCGAGTAACACATCCAGAAGGAGCACCCATCGTATGGTATTTTTACAGATACTCATGATCTTCTCAGAGACGGTTCGCGTTGTTATTCCGTCCGTATTATCCAGGCTTTCTTCTAATGTCACCGTACTGCAGTGAGTTAATTGTTCCGTCGACCTCTGAAAAAGAAAGACTCTTCAAAATATAAAAATAATTGTATTATTTTATTCACAATTGTAAAATATAGTTGCATGACTGTTACACCGAATTCTGTATAGGTTCGTAATCTTTAGATTTAATTATTTCTAGGATAAATAAATTACATTTTTCTCTAAGACAAAAATAAGTATAAGAGGACTAACGAAAAAATATTATTTCGAAATGAAATAATTTAGTTTCATATTATATACCTAGAAAAAAACATTAAAGATTGTACTGGATTAATAAAATTGTTTCCACTTTAAAAGTATAAAATATTGCACTTTTATTTACTAATCGTAAATCGATTAATTCTAATTCTATTATATATTTTTTGAGGTTAGATTTTTATCGAGCTTATTATAAGAAATCGTAATAGATATTTTTTTCAAAGATGGACTTTATGCAATATTTGTATTTTTACTTTTTATTTCAAATTAAACTTTCTTCTTTTACAAAATTAATATAAATATTAGATAAAAAACATGGTGCTATTAAATAAAATGCTCTATGCGAGAAATAGTTGTTCGAAAATTGCCGGCACTTTAATTGGCAAAAATCTCCAGTAATTATTTTAATGGTAAATCATACACTTAATAGATCAGGCTTAATTTAAATTTAAACTTACGTAAATAATAAAATACTGAGTAATTCTATTACATATAACCAGTGTGAAGAGAAGAAAACGAGGAATACAAATTCTAACTTTACTTTGTAAATTTGTTAGTTAACATACGATTAAAATTATAGTTAAAATTATAATGAGAAGATAAGAATCGAAGAAGAAAAATTTAACCTCACTTTGTACTTTTTTCAGTAAATATACGATTCGAATTGTAGTTATAATTATAGTGCAGAGATTACAAGACGAAAAAGAAAAATTCTAACCTCACTAATCAAATTTTTTGAGTGAAAACAATAATTTGGAATTGAAATTAGAATTTTCATTTTCTAAAACACTGTTTATCCTGACCAAAAAACTTTATAGGTTTTATCTTAATAATAAGAGATAATCATTTTTGATTAATTTTTATCAACAACTGTACACGAGAGAATACGATTATCAGATTTACATTGATTTAAATTCAATTCTATATAATTTATTTATCGTTGAAGTCAAATACTAATTTGCATAGCTGTGTTCAATAACAGTGCGATAGTGGTGCAATCATCAAAACATTTCTTATGACGATTAATTTAAATGCAAATTACCGACTGTTATCTGACTTATACAAAACATCTAATAATTATGAATATCTAGCGTATTAATAGCGTAAGATGTAGATATCCTATAAGGAACGTTAAAACAGTATTAAATTGGTACGGATAATAGAACGCGAGTAAGTAACCGGAACTAACCTCTTAATATCATTTGTCTACCCTTGACATACTTACTTCCTACCTATTACGATCGGAAATTTTTATTTTTAATAAAAGGAATCTTAGCTTTCTTTATAAATAAATTTATTAAATAAATATCTGTAACGAGCCAATATTGAATTAAAATTGATGCAAAAACTGTACTAACGAAACGTAAGATTAAACATGGCGGTATACGTTCTTAATGTTATTTGCATATGATCGTTAAATCATAGTTATTGGCATTTACTAATAATATCACCATTAGGGAAGGAATAAAGAATTTCTCAATCATGAAAGAGATGAAAATATTTAAATACATCTTCTTAAATTTTCTGTGAATTACTTTTCTTTTTAACTATAATTGAATAATATGCACTACCAAAATCATTGGGAGAAATCATCAAATCAAGGACTTGTAACAGTAGTGAAATTTAATCATTAAATTAAAACAAATACGAATATCGATAAAAAATATGATGTATAAATATATATAGAAACATTAAAATATTATACGTATATTATATGAATATAAATATTATATGTAACACCAAAATATAATTATATGTATTAAAATAATTGTTACTTGCTATATTATAGCAACACTGCATATGTATATGATTACATACCATATAATCAGTAATAATGTTATTCTTCCAATTATTACCGTTATTATTATTATCACTGCTATAGTATAATATTCGATTATATTATTAAATATAATTTATAATTGTAATATTAAATATAATGTATGTAAAATAAATACACAACTTAAAATATGTAAAGTAAAACACACGAAAAACAAGCTTTCATATTCAAAATTCTAAATTATTTTAAGACATAATACTTTATGTATTGTAACCCTTCATAACTTACTAAATATAAAGGTACACTTTATGTACCCACGTGTGTAGTTTATATACATATCGCAATAACTATGTATCTTTATTGTAATATATGAAACACTAAACATACGATTTATGTACCTTCGTTGTGTACAATACATAGCTTAATAATACATAGCTCTTTAAGTACAAAAAGTTTAAATAATTTAATAATGAATTCGAAAATCCAAACGTTCGTCAACGTTCAATTGTTCAATTCTATTTAAAGCGTTCAACAAGCCTTATTCTTCTCTAGA